GAAAATAGATATAAGAATGGTAATACCAAAGAGTAATCATGATGTATGAGCTATCATTCTTCTTCTTCTTCTTCTTCTTCTTCTTCTTCTCATCATTATTATATGAGTTTACTGGGGTCTGCTGGCGTCATAACAGACAAAGCGCATAGAGCTTGGTTATAACATGGATAATAATTATGTGCTGTGTAAGTGCATTTATTATTGTTTTTATTACAAAGATGCCTGCCTCTGAAATGACTTTACAAGTGCACGTTTTAAATTAGAATTTAATGCCCCAACCAGCACTGTGATATCATTCAAGAGGCGGGAATTCCAGATTTAACGTTCACCTCCGATAGGACTGATCCAGATGGGTGGAAAACCATAAAACTTTTCAAACAACCCAAGTTCAGAACACCCCCGTTGAGGATTTGAAGCAGGGTCATACACTACATAGTCCAACATGATCACAACTGAGCTAGCGACACACCCTATACATTTACAGGGAACTAAAATATTTAATAAATTATTTTCAATCGATCATACCGGTAAGATGATATTCACTACGTAGAAAGTCGTCCTCCGTTCTAGCAAAAGGGTAAAACGTATCTTTGCTTTAGAATCTTCATTGCTGAGGTTCTCGGCCTGGTAGTCTATGAGCTTCCAGGAGCCGTCTTGGCTGAAGTCTTGTGTCTCAACGGGGTCACTCTGGGAGGAAAACAAATAACTGGTTTAATACAGTCAGATCTATTTACATGTAAAAAGTAAGAGATAGAACATTGAACATTGAACAATGTAAAGTGGATGTTGAACTTAATTTACAACTGGATGAATGAATGAATGAATGAATGAATGAATGAATGAATGAATGAATGAATGAATGAATGAATGAATGAATGAATATGCGTGTGGAGAAAGGGGGTTGAGTAGACAGTAAAATCCAGGTGAAGCCACTTATGGACAAAATTACAAAAAAATCGAAAAGATTCCTTAAAGAAAAGGCGAAAAAAAGAAAGAAAGAAAGAAAGAAAGAAAGATA